GAGCATAGGTTCTCTGGCATTTATTGAATTAGTTTTGGGCAGCCTTGGAAGGTTACCCCAAAGACACATACTGTCTTTCTCCATAGCAGATGAACCCAAGGAGATAGAACAGACTTGACTGAGATATGTGGCAGGTACTAAAAAGTCTTGAGAAGGCAAACTTCAGTTTCAATGTTAAGGATCAAATTGAATTTATACGTGCAGACAATATGAATTTCAGGAGGTGATTCTCAGAAGAGCCACTTTTCACACGAGGACTCTGTGGCCTGCTCCAGAGGAGCAGCAGCGGAATCTACTTATATAATCCTGGTTGAGGGTTCTCCCTCCTAAAACTTTGTAGGCCAGCCAGGTAAGGGAATACACAATCAGGGAAACTCTTGAGTCACTGTTCTTGGAAATCCACCATTCCTATCATCCAAAATACGAGTTTCTGTTTATATAATCTCTAGTGCAAAACCCAAGGCACATCTCCTAAGCTAAAAAGGATATAGAAATACGGTAAAAGATGGAAAGTAAGAGTCATTCTTGCCACAACCATGACCCTGGGATCCCCAGTTCACTACACTATCTCCATATTCTCCTCCTGTCAATCAGCCAATTTATTTTTACATGAGAGGATGCTGGGTGTGTCAACCAGGTCACTTACTGAAAACACACATTGGAAGAAAAGATACTGAAAGAAATACGTGAAAAGTGCCACCATGTATTAATTGAGGCTCTTTCCAACTGGAAGTGGTTTGGAAAACACTATGACTATGGGTAGTGGGGAACACCTGACCCTCAGCAGGTGCTAGTTTTATTCCCAGCGCCAGTGAAAATCCAACCAGGGATCCCTCCACTCACGCCTGGGCCCAGAGAGTGTGATCTGGCATTCAACTTCCTCAGTGCGGGGCCTAGCAGCCCCGGGAGCCCAGTGGGTGCTTCCTCGGTGGCGCCCCTCACCTCGCCTCGCGGGGTTCTAACGTCCAAGAGCGCGGCTGTGCGAGAGACCCGCGCGGACACATGAGGCGCGGTGGGGCTCCCGTGGCTCCGCGGAGCCTGCAGGTTCCCAAGACGAGGGTGGGGTAGGGGCTGACAACGATGCCGCCCTCTCCTGGCTGTGTGGGCTTTATCCTCTGTCCTTGGGCCTGGCACGCCCAGGGGGAAGAGGCTGTGCTTGATGTGTGAGCGGGCTGATCACGTGGCGGCCGCACTGCTAACCCCAGACACACCCCCGCTTAGAAGCAGTAACATTGTCAGAAGCTCCTTGCCGCTAAGAATCCTCTGCAAAATGTGGTGGATACAGCACTGCACTTAACTCCTTCGGTCCTCAGCTTATTCTTTGGTAAAGTGGAGATGATACCCGCTCAGGTACCTCATATGCTCATGCTGCAGAACTTTGAAAACCAAAGATGTTTTACAAACATATTCCACTGCGATAAGCACGGTGCATATATGTCCTTCACGCTGAACCTGACAGTTTAAGTTGTATTCTCAGTGTTTAACAACTATCCTCAACACATAGTAGGAACAGATGAATGATTGCAAGGTTTTGTCTAACTTATTAAAGTGTTAGCATCGCTGGCTAATTATGAGTAATAGATGATAGTCATGTTTGTTGAACTCTTTTATGTTTGGCGTTTTTATGATAAATTAATTCAGCAAATTTCCACTTGGTGCCAGTATGTGCTAGGCATTGTTCACAAGGCTGGGGATACAGTAGTGAATAAAACAGATGAGATTCTAATAAGAATAAGGAAGCTAATAATAAATAAGATTCATAAGGAAAATTTATAGCATGTTAAGAATAATGAGAGCTAAGGAGAATGATAAAGTATGAAAGGGAGGTGGGGTCAATGGAAATGTAAATGAGGGGAATCAGGAAAGTCCTCATCATAAAACAACTTGCACACAAATGTTCATAGGAGCATTCCTATATATTCCTAATAGCCAAAAGTGAAAACAACCCAAATCCCTATCAACTAATGAATGAACAAATAATATTTGGTATATCCATATAATCTATTATTTGACAATGAAACACAACAAAGTTCTAGTTTATGCTACAGCACGAATAAGCCTTGAAATCATTATGGTAAGTGAAAGAAGCAAGTCACAAAAGACATTCATATAAAATAGCCCCAGTAGGCAAATCCAGAGACAAAAAGTAGACCAGTGGTTTGCTAATACTGAGGTAAGTGGTGGAGAATAAGAATTACTCTTAATGGGTTTGGGTCCAAAATTAGGTGGTGTTATTTACACAACTCTGTGAATATACTAAAAGCCACTAAACTATACACTTTAAATGGGCAAATTTTATAATATTTGAATTATATCTCAATGAAACTGTTATAAAAATGAAAGGCAAGATGTATGTTTTATCTCTTTACTTATGAAATTTTGAAATAATGAACACCCTACAAGGGTGACTATGATTCTTTTTCTTTTTTTATGGGGGAGGGAGAGATTGGCCTTTTCAATTTTTATGTATTTGCTTTGTTGACCAGTGCGTGATCCATATAGTGTCACTGACTTCCTTTCCCTAGAATATAAGCTCCCTGAAGGCAGGATCTTGTCTCTTTTGTTTAAATCTGTTCCCAGAAGCAAGCATTATGCCTGGTGCAAAGTAGATTGTCAAAAAAGTAGTTTATGATGAATGTATGGATGAATGGAGGAGCTACCCTATATTTACATTAACAGCTCATTCTTTCCAGTATCTCAATGGTGATATCCTGCTCTGTGATAAAAAACAAATACCTTTCAGATCTGACATGGCATCCCTATCGAGAGCTATTCTTTGTGTTAAACTAGCTCAGGCTCTAAAGCTGGGACCTTGTTCAAGGATGCATGTGAATGGAGTTAAAGATTGGCGCTGCATTGGCACCTGATCTCCACTTGCAGGCAGACTTCCTTGGTGCTGGGTTGATCAGTTAGGAGGAAGGAGCCTCAATTTCTAATTGTACTGTTCAGAGGGGACTCATCGTCTATTTCATTTTCCCAGAGGAGCTGTTATTGAGCAGTCTGTCCTTTTGAACAGGGTACTTCTGTCTAGTTTGCACAACGGCATCTTACGTGTTAGTAGCCCCTTTTCAGATTATTGGCCCCCGATCTCTACATTTCTTTCAAAATTTCTGGCATCATATCCTTCCTCATTCAGCCTGGATCCCACAGATCCAACTAATTATCTTCTTATTAAACCCCACAAATGCAAGTTTACCACCTTGTAATGCTACCTTTTCTGTGTAGGATATTTTAGGGAAACTCACAATGGCGTGGATAGACACCCAACAAAGATGTCATTTGAAAGTCCAGTGTCTTCATCTGTGCTTCTAATTAAATCGTTGAGTATAATTTGGCCAATTTTTCCTCTGACTCCTGGCAACTCTTAATCCAAACAAGTACTTTATTCATTACCACCCCTCACTCCTAAATGTCTTCCTTGTCAATATTTTCAAAGGAAAGACAAAGGCTCTCATGTTCTTTCTTATCCTCCTCATATGGAGGAATGGATAAAGAACATTTACATTAAAGCTATTGATTCACTATTTTCTTACTTGATCAGAATTAGGTATCTTTCCTGGGTTCTAAAGTGTAATCTGTTCCTGTGCTACTAATCTCATTTCCTTCAAAGGGCTTATAAACCTTAATCCATCAATTATCTCTTTCTCCCCAGTATATTCAAATATTACTCCCTGCTTCGTATTTCTTCTCAACCCATATATTTATACAAGTCTCTCTCACAGTTGTGGTTTCTAGTTCATGAAGGTAGACCAAACAGATGCTACTTATTCCTCATATGAACTCCAATTCCAAGGAGCACCCCTACAAAAAAAAATTCCATTGCCACGATGAAAAATAAGAAGCAACTCTCTTGGTGAGCCAGAATCTGTGAATTCCTGAGAGACCAAAAGTATGCAGACTAGACTGAAGAAAAAGTACACAATAATAAAGGACCTGCAACAGAAGACAGTTCTAAATGGTGGGATTTTTTGCATTTCATAAACAAATGGCATATACATAAATAACACAGATACTCTAATCTTCAATTTATATCCCCCCAAATTACTTAAGGGGCAAGATGGGGACACCCAGTTGCCCATTCCTGGGACAGCAAATGTATAAATGTGCTGGGTGCATGGCACAGACTTTTAGGCAGCATTTAAAATCAACTGATAGCAACATGGATAGATCTTTAAAACTTACTGTAGGGAGGAGTAAAATTTGTGCATGTAATTTATCAGTGTGTATGATCTTCATGGATTCCAAATACATTCCCACAATAGAATGCCATACATTTTTGGGGAGATACTGACAAATAAAATATCCATGTTTTATAAAGTGGAACAATTGCTCATGGAGGGAGGGAAGGGGGAGTGGAGTATGGACATCAAAGAAAATTTTAAAAGTAGGAAGCATCCTTATAGACACAACAAAGCATTTCTAAGATAATTTACTTAAAATTTGAGTGTGATAAGCCACAGTGTAAAATTATAGGCAAAAATACGTAACGTTTTGGGAGCTGGACTTTCTAGACAAAACAAATCCAGTAGCTATTAATTCATGTAGTCTCAATAACATAAAGATATGGCTAATTGTAATATACCTTCTTCACTATATGTAAGCTATGCCTGTATTAATAATATCCAGTGAGAAAGAAATAATTAGAAGTAGTATTTAGAGCTAATCAGCAAAGAAGCCTTCACAAGTAATGGGATTATTTATCATTTATGTGAAGTCTCCTTCTCACAATGAAATAATTTTCTCGAGTTAGCATTTATTACATCATTATCAATTTTAGGTATAGATTCTACTCTAGAAACATGTGCCCATTCATAGAATTTCTCTTACATGGAAGAATCTCTTAATTCAGGCTGACCATATTCAAACTGAGATAAATTCATGCACAGTTCCCCACATAGACAAAAATAACCACATTCATCAATTTTAATTTTTATTAATGAAATAGGGGAAAGAGAATACTGAGATGGATTTAATGAAATTACATTTTCCAAGGAGCCTCTTGAACAGAATGAAGTTCTTCATTGGTCACTACACTTTCGTCCTTGACTGAGCTCACCGATGGTTTCTTTAATATGTAGAAAAAGGATGTCCTTCTGCCATGAACCTGAGGTTAAGTTAGATATCAGTACATTGATCATTAATACACTCTAAAATAAAGAACTATAAAATCTGGGGTAGAATTTTGGAAATAATTCTAATAGAAGTATTCTCATCATTGAGATTTTTATTTTATTTATTTATTTTTTAGAGATGACGTCTCTATCTGTCACCCAGCCTGGAGTGCAGTGGCACTATCATCGCTCACTGTAACCCTGAATTCCTGGGCTCAAGCCCTCCTTCCACCTTCCCCTCCTAACTAGCTATAGGACTGCAGGTATGTGCCACCACTCCTGGGTAATTTTTTCTATTTTATTTTATTTTATTTTATTTGAGATGGGGTCTCACTGTGTTGCCCAGGCTGGTCTCAAAATCCTGAGCTCAAGCAATTCCCCTGCCTTAGCCTCTCAAAGTGCTGAAATTATGGGTGTGAACCACCCCACCAGGCGAGATTTTTAAATTAAACCACGTGCTTTTGATACTTTTTAGTTTCTTTGTTCTCTCTCCCTTTCTCCCTGGTTTCCATCCTCCCTTCTCTTTTGTTTCTATAGATTGAAAGCCAAAGACAATGACATATGACAAGACAGTCCCCAAGACAATGACTCATCATAAAGGACATACTGTTTTCTACTCAAACTTGATTGCATTATTAAGTATAGCATTGAATACCTATCAGTTTAAATTCTATTTAGTTGGAGTAGAAATCTATATGTCCTTATATACTCAATCCATGTTTGTTCTCTTTTCACTTTATTCAGAGAATTAAGAATAAGACCTGTGTGTGTGTGTGTGTGTGTGTGTGGTGTGTTTTTGTTTACTTTGCTTTTAGGTAGAGCCATATTTTTTTGAGATTTTGAGTTTGAATACCTTTAGATGGAACTTCAGCTCCCCATTTTAATACCTTACTTAAAGAAAATTCATTGAAAGGCAACCAGTGATCCAGATAATAGGTTTTCAATACCCTAATTCATCTGGAATTATAGCTAATTCACATGTTTTGAAAAGTAAATGACTTTTGCAGTACAAATGAAGATGTAGCCTCTGAGTGTCAAGAGAAAGTGGGAAATACGAGAAAAGAAATCTATATGATAAATTCCTCTCCCTCCTAATTCATTTTATCAGGTTAATTCAAAATAGAGATTCCTAAACAAAGCTATTTGTAAATTAAGATGGTAGACTTAACAAGGTATCTATATGGAATGATAAGTAAATTGGTGAGGCTGGAGCACAGCGTTTATGGGAGTGAGTGGTAGGAAATGAAGTCAAGAAGGTAGATTGGGCTAATTTATTGCAGAAATGAATGTTGTGCTAGAATATCAGGCTTTCATGTGGTGAGTGTTGCCTGTTTAAACTTTCATTTGGGGAGATGAAGAAACAGAGGACAGAACTGAAGTACATTTAAGGTATCATATAAAAAGGATTATCAGCTAGTTTCAATTTGAGAGTATTTCTCAGCTCCCTGGCCAGGACAGCCAAGTAGATGGTGGTGCTCTTAAATGGAAAAGACAAGGTAATCACTTTGTGGGTGAGATGATTAGTTCAGTTTTAGATGTGTTTTATTTGAGGTGCTTTGGAATCATTTGAAGTTGGCAATATGAGCCTAGAGCTCAGTAGAAAGGTCTAGGGTGGAGATTCAACATTTGGATTATTATCAATTTATAGATGGTATACATCTACCAAGCTGTAGGTATATATGGTGTTGCCTATACAAAAGCTATAGAGGTACAGTTGGAAAAGTCAAGGCACAGAATAGCAACCTGAAGAGATTAAGACCTAGGTAAGAAGGCAGGTCAAAGGGTCAAACAGATGAGATTAGAAAGTGGTAAAATGGGGAGGAAGCTTAAATTTCCTAAACCTTTCTACACATGTGGTCTAGGATATATGGACAACTCATTTTCTTCTTTGTGTTAACTTTGGTCTCCTTCTCAGTTGTTTCTATGATCTCACAGATCCCTAAGCCTCAGCCTGTTGATTGGGTACTGGGGAAAAAGGGTGGGAATATCTTTCACTGAAGTTCTCTGATTTAATGAGATTGAGGTCAAATGGAGGTTAAGTTTTCCTTTAGACATGAAGTAGTTGGAATGGAGAAAGTAGGAAAATAGCTTTATTGAAAAAAGATTTTTACCATCTTTTTCAACTTCTCCATTACTCCCACATCTTGGTTTCTGAAGACACTAAATTTCTACACTCAGATAGTCGACTTGTTCTCCCAAATTTTGAGAAACAAAGGCTTCAGACTTCAGTAGTCCCATATCCCCGTGCCTGGTAACAACTTCTACAAAGCTTTTTGTTTCCAGGGTAATATCTGTTGAATTAAACAGACCTGAGCCAGAAAATCACATGTCTTCTACCTTATTCTCTCATATGGCGTGGACATAAAAGTATCCTGTAATGCAAAACACTTTTATAAAAGGGAAGATTATTCAGCTGTGGAGGGACCCATGTAAGTGCATGACAGTTAGTGCCGAGTGTTCTCAGTTATCTACAATCAGAGCTTAGTGGTGGCATTATTTATACTTAATTCATATCAAAACCTTAGTTATTCAAATAGTGTTCATAACAGAAGACAATATCCTCTGATTTACTAAGGGAGAAATGGGATACTTACTGCATCTTTATCTTCCTGTATATTTTGCTTGGAATGCCCAGTGGATGACTATACTTGCGACAGACAACTCCAAGATGGTTAATATGAACAGATATTCCGAAAGGAGTTTACCAGTTTTCTGTATCCAAAAAGAAAATGTACATTCCTTACAGATCTTTCTATGTGAGTGCTTTAGAATTGATAAAGGTATCTTAAAATTGAAGAAGAAAAATAGAAGAGAAAAATGACCCACCATATCCTGCACCCTCAACAAGAGAATTTTAAATATTTTTTAATCGTAATTACAACTGATAATTATTGAGGATGATGATAAACTGATACATTTCTCCCAAGTGGATGATGAGAATCATTGATTGTGTTTTCTTGTTTATTGTTGTGGATAATGACAGGAAATTTTCACTGAGGCCAATAAATCTCTGGGGAAGATGGAATTGTGACACCCTTGAGGTTTAGTGTTGTAGAACTTATTTAATAGAGAAACATATACAAATCTGCCCTGTTGAAAGGAAAGGACGCTAAAGAGAAACAATGAAAGAAAAGAATGTTTGGACTTGTAACCTGGACTCAACACAAGGGCTTATGTGGCCTGGGGGTAGGAATTTCCTCCTGGGATTGTGCCTCTGTCTATAAGCCCCAATAGATCCATATCCTGACAGGATAGCTGGGTTGGAAACAATAATACAGAATCTGTAATATTGGAAGCCCAAGCCTCTTCAGTACTCAATGCACTTTTATGACAAGGTCACCACGGGCTACTCAGATCAGTGTTAAATAATGACATCATTTAGTAGTGACTGAACCATGGCAGTGGAAATTAAGGGCACGCTGGTGGACTGATGAGATACTCCATGATTCTGTTAACTAAGGGTTTGGAGTCAATATTGAACCTTTGGATCCCAATGGTTTTGAGTAACTTGAGAGGGTCAACAGGGAGGGGACCTCAGAAGGAAGATTCTGGATTTCCTACTAATATGAATATTGATAGTTTAAGAGATAAATTAGAAAAATGAAAGAGTTAAGATCATAATTAAAGATCAATCCAATAAAATGAGACATTCTTGTTATACAAATATAATCTTAAGCAACATCTTTATGTTTCTATGTATTTAAGATACCACTTTAAGGTATCCATCAGGGTATGTGTCATAAAATATTAACATTCTCTGTAGCAGCAAAATGATTCTTTGATGCGCCACTGAATTGATTTTTGTAAAAGCTCAATTCTGTGGGGTAAGATAATTTAGAATTTAAAACTATTCTGCATTAGAAAAAATGATCTGTAAGTGACTAGCCATGTGACTCTGAGCAAGTAGTTTAAAATTTCTAAACTCATTTCTTTATTGAATCAGAGACATAAATGGTCCCCTAAGGAGGTTTACAGTTGTACTCATGGTAAAATCACTTTCAAAGCTACATAGAAATAAGAAAAATCCAGCAAAATGCAAACTGGTGTATTCTTTGCAACTAGATAATTAACCAAGAGTTTTGGATGTTGAAGTAAGGAGAGTTTACTTAATGAGTTAGGAATTTAAATATAGGCAATATCTAATGGGTTCAATTCAGAAAAGTTGATTTCTAAGTATTGGTAAAAGTCCCCTCTGTTTTGCCCATCATCAAGCCCTGGACAGATGGGATAGAGCAGAAGGACAGAAATCCTAGAGAAGACTTTGGCCCTTACGCTTCAATTTCTACACAACTTGCTTAGCCCTGACTTCCACCTTCTTGCCCTCCTAGCCCCTTCTCTATACACCAACAAACGTGTACAGATAAATGCACATATGTCCACAGTTCCACATGAATGGGAACATAGATATACACAGATACTGAAATGCAAATGTGAACACACTTAGACTCCCACAGACCTGCTGTAACAACTGACAGACTCAAAGCAGGCAGTGCAAAAATGTCCACATAGTCGTGAACGATATAGAACTGAGTACTCATGCATTCAAAATTACATACGTGTACAGAGTTCAGCTTTATTCTTTTTATAAACTACAGCCCTGACATTGAACATAAACCCCTGGGTATCACAGGTACATGAATATGCCCGTTCCTTCTTGGAAGACCAAGTCTTGCTATAACAAACTTGATCTTTTAAGGCCTGGGAGAACTGACCTCAGAGATGCAGGAACCTGGAATGAACTGGGCTGCCCATCATAAAAATATCATGACTATCAGGTGGGTCCAGAATTGAATATAATACTTAGTCACTCAAAAGGCATCTATTAATATTTATAATACCTTTCATTTGTTTACTTGAGGTTTTGGGTGGTCTTGGGTTTAGAAATGTAACTCGTAGTTTGAGTCACGTTTTTAATAGATGCATATACCATGAGGTAAACTAATGGTGAGGGTTACCTCCATGACTTGCATTGTACTTAAGTGCTCTGATCACTTAGTAAATATTTAACAGTAATTCTAAAATTGTGACGAGATTCTCACAGACACCTGGTACTTACTTGTGGCCAAAGAGGATTTTTTGAACTTTTACTATATTTTATAAACTCAATTGATAGTAAAAGCAGACCAATCACTGAAATACAGGCACTTATGATGTTTACTACTAAAGCGTAAGACACCTGCAATAGAGAAAAATAAAAAAAATTTGGTCATTGGAAATTATCCATATGCATCATTGACAAGTATATTAAAGTAAAAGATTTTTTTAAAAGTAAAAGGTTTATATAAATGCTGATCTTTTCAGCAGTGTAGGATCATTACAAAGACGGTCAGAAATGCAGATGTGTCAGGATCCCAATAGGAATAAACCATTCTGGAGATTATACAATTTTTGATATAATGAACAAGTTTATTTCTTCACTGACAATTTATTGAATACCTATTCTATACTCTGTAATCTATGCTGTGCATTAGTAGATAAAAAGACAGAAAAGAAATGGTCTCTGCACTCAAGGAATTTTCAGACTATTGAGGAAGACAAACAAGTGCATGTTAAATGTGAATAGAATGTAAAAAAATTGTTAATAATGTAGGCAAATTCATAGTGCCATACAGTTTCAGAATATCAGAGAACTAACATTTCAGGAGTTTGTTATGGTTCATTTTGGAGTGGAAGAAGGAGAGCTGTAGAAAATTTTGTTGGAAAGATAGGTGCTATCTAGCTAGATATTTAGGATTTTATCTTAAAGATGGTAGAGAATGGCATGCATATGTATAACGCTGCTGCATAATAGCACTTTGTCCATGTATAGGATCTGAGAGGTGACATGATATTAAGAAGATCCTTATTGATTATATTTGTTTCTTTGTCTACATTTGAATATCTATATCTATATCTATATATGTATATCTACATCTCTCCTGTACAAACTAGATAATACCATTCTGGATATAGAAATCAGCAAAGATTTCATGACAAAGACACCAAAAGCAATTGCAACAAAAACAAAAATTGAAAAATGGGATCTAATTAAACCAAGCAACTTCTGTGCACAGCAAAAGAAACAATCAACAGAATGAACAGACAACCTACAGAATGAGAGAAAATTTTTGCAAACTATGCATCTGACAAAGGTCTAATATCCAGCATCTGTAAGAAACTTAAACAAATTTACAAAGATAAAACCAAACATCCCCATTAAAAAGCAGACAAAGGACAGGAACAGACATTTTTCAAAAGAAGACATACATGTGGCCAACCAGCATATGATAAAAAACTCAACATCACTGATCATTAGAGAAATGCAAATCAAACACGAGATACCATCTCACACCAGTTAGAATGGCTATTACTAAGAAGTCAAAAAATGACAGATGCTGATAAGGTTTTAGAGAAAAAGTAACACTTATACACTGTGGGTGGGAGTGTACATCAGTTCAATTAGTGTGGAAGACAGTGTGGTGATTCCTCAAAGACATAAAAACAAACTACAATTTGACCCAGCAGTCCCATTATTGGAAATATATCCAAGGGAATATAAATCATTCTGTCATAAAGACACATGCATGTAGATGTTCACTGCAGCATGATTCACAATAACAAAGACATGGAATCCACCTAAATGCCCATCAATGGTAGACTGGATAAATAAAATGTGGTACATATACACCATGGAATACTATGCAGCCATAAAAAAAGAGAAGATCATTTTCTTTGCAGGAACATGGAAGGAGCTGGAGGCCATCATCCTTAGCAAACTAATGCAGGAACAGAAAACCAAATACTGCCTGTTCTCACTTGTAAATGGGAGCTACATGATGAGAACACATGAACACATAGAGGGAAACAACACACTGGAGCCTATTGGAGGGTGAGGGTGAGAGAAGGGAGAGGATGAGAAAAAATAACTAATGGGTACTAGGCTTAATACCTGGGTGACGAAATAATCTGTAAAACAAACCCCCATGACACAGGTTTACCTCTGTAACAAACCTGCACATGTACCCCGGAACTTAAAATAAAAGTTAAATTTAAAAAGATATGTATATTTCCTTCTATCTAATATGAATTAGGTAATAATTACTAAAGCTTAAACTACTGAATTCTGAAACCAACTTCACTGGATAAAGGATGTGTTTATCGAAGTTGCTGTTGTATGTTGTATAGTGATCTCAACGAATTTATTCTTTTGGAACAAATCTCCCTTAAAGAAAGACAAATGAAAATAAAATGTTTATTATTTCATTTTATAACCTAAACATACAACTGTATTGCTTAGTACATTTTGGTATGTTGACATAATCCAGTCTTTAAAATGAAGTATATTTGGTAAATATTTCATTTTCTCAACTATACAGGCAATAGTTATGTCAAAATAATCTGTTTTTATTTAGAAAAGAGCCACCTTGTTGAGGAAATGCATCAATAAGGCCCTGTGGAGCAGGTGTTCTTTTCTGGAGTGTGAAGTTTTTCTGGGAAAAACTTATCTGAATAAAACAAGCAGAAACACTTGTTTTGATTCCTGCTCTCTGTTGGGATGGTATTGGACATATTTAAAGTATACAATTTGATAAATCATTAATACAGAAAGATATACAGTAAGTGCACTGTAAGAAGAGAGTGAAAGTATGGAGGAACTGGAATACTTAGCCTGTGGGTGGAAATGTAATATGCTACAACCACTTTGGAAAACAGGTTAGCAGTTTCTTGAAAAGTGAAACATGCATATACCCTACGATTCACGTATTTACTAAAGAGAAATGAAGGCATATGTCTGTACGAAGACTTATATGTAAATGTTCATAGTAGCTTTATTTGTAAAAGCTCAAAACTGGAAACAATGCAAGTTCCATCAATAGGTGAATGGATAAATGAATTGTGATATATCCATAAAATTGAATATAATTTAGAAATAAAAAAGGGATTGATAACTTATATACATGGATGAATCTCAGGATAATTATGCTGAATGAAATAAGTCAAACAAGAAAGCATATCTACTGTATTATTCCATGTGTATAAAACTCTAGAGAATGCAAATTAATCTGTAGTGATAACAAGTAGATCAGTAGATGCCTGGGGGAAGGAGGGTTTTGAGGAGGGAAAAGCAAGAGGGATGACAAAGGGGCATGTGAAAACGGTTGGGGGTGACATATGCACTATCTTATTGTATTAATGGCTTACCAAATTGTGTACTTTAAATACATACAGTTTATTGTTTATTGTATGTCAATTATGCCTCAATAAAGCTATTAAAAATTAAGAAAGAAGAGCATGAAGGGGCACTATGTGAGAGCCAGATGCAGTAAAAGAGTGTGAGGCATGGGATAAGCTACCCTCTATGACCTTGCCATCTACTATGAAGTTTTGTTTTGTTTGCTTTTTAATAATTTTTGAAAATAGAGACCATATAATCTTTTTTTTTTTTTTTTTTAGACAGAGTCTCACTCTGTCGCCCAGGCTGGAGTGCAGTAGTGGGATCTCGGCTCACTGCAACCTCCACCTCCCAGGTTCAAGCAATTCTCATGCCTCAGCCTCCCAAGTAGCTGGGATTACAGTCACACGCCATCACGCCCAGCTAATTTTTGTATTTTTAGTAGAGACCGGGTTTCACTATGTTGGCCAGGCTGGTCTTGATCTCCTGACCTCAAGTGATCTGCCCATCTTGGTCTCCTAAAGTGCTGGGATTACAGGCATGAGCCACTGCACCCAGCAAGATGGTACAAAGAATTATTTTAAGAAACACTTTTACACTTTTATTGCAGCCACAGGAAATCATAAATTATTAATCTTTATTTGAAAAAACCCAGGCTTTGTTTCTAAAATAACTGAAACATTTCAGATAAAAGTTTTCTTGCCTAGTTCAATTTCAGGTTTTGGCTATTGTGAATAAACTCCTATAAACATGTGGGCAAGTTTTTGTTTTTTGTTTTTGACATATATTTTTATTTCTCAGAGGTAAGTGCCTAGCAATGAATTGCTGGATCATATGGCAGGTGTATATTTAAATTTTGAATGAATGACCACATATTTTTACAAGGTCATGGTGTCATTTTACACTTCCAATGACAATATGAAGGGCTTATTTTCTCCACATACCTGTTAACATTTGGTGTTAAGTATGCTATTTCTTCTCTTTTGGGCTTCTATTTTCAGGAAATATCTTTCTTCACTCCTTCACTTTCAGTCTATATGTGTCCTTAAAGGTGAAGCGAGTGTCTTGTAGGCAGCAAATAGTTGCATTTTGTTTTCCAGTCCATTTAGTTACTTTATTTTTTTATTGGAGAATGTAGTCAATTTACATTCCAGGTAATTATTAATATATAAGAACTCTTATTGCTGTTTTGTGACTTATTTTCTTTTTAAACCATCCTTTATTTCTTTCCTCCTCTCTTAACGTTTTTTGTGATTTGATGATTTTCTGTGGTGGTATGATTTGATTCCTTAGTTTTTATATTTTGTGCAACTATTATAAGTTTTTGTATTGTGGTTACCACGAGGCACAAATAAAATATTTTGTAGTTGTACCAGGCTTTGAAAGCTGATAACAACTTAACTTTCAATACAAAATGTCTGCATTTTACTTTTTCCCCTATTTGTTATTTCGATGTCAAAATGTGTATCTTTTGTAGTTTGTATCCCTTAGTTTATTGTAGTTATAGGTGTTTTTCTTCTAACACTTATATTAGAGATAAAATTGCTTTATGTACTACCATTATAGTACTAGAATATTCTGAATATGACTATGTATTATTTATATCACCAAGTTTTATACTTTTATATGTTTTATGTTGTTAATTTGTATCATTGTTTTTTTGGTTTCAGCTTAAATAGCTCCCTTTCATGATTCCTGTAAGGCAGGTGTAGTGATGATGAGACCCCTTAGCTTTTTTTTTTTGTCTGGGAAAGTTTTAATTTTTCCCTTATTTCCTTAGAATAGCTTTGCAAGGGCCGGGCGCGGTGGCTGACGCCTGTAATCCCAGCACTTCGGGAGGCTGAGGCGGGTGGATCGCCTGAGATCAGGAGTTTGAGACCAGACTGGCCAACATGGTGAAACCTGTCTCTACTGAAAATACAAAAATTGGCCCGGCGTGATGGCAGGTGCCTGTAATCCCAGCTACTCAGGAGGCTGAGGCAGGAGAATCGCTTGAACCTGGGAGGTGGAGGTTGCAGTGAGCC